GGATGGACGTGCGCGTCCCCACCCGAAGCGACGATCCAGCCTTCTCCTGAGGACAGAGAACTGAGCCTCAATAGTCCCTCAAGCCTCTCCATCCCACTGTGACCACCTTCTCAGGATCTTTGGCTTTTCGAGAAGGCGAGTCCGGCCGCTGGGTTTACACACCGTGCACAACCCCATCGTGGGCTCTCTGACATTGGCTTAGCTGGTTGTGCAAACCTAATCATTGGGGTTTAGGGCTCTCTCCAAGGTGTAAGCCAGCCAGTTCTGGCCTGCGATAAACTTTGGTTAAACAGCTAAGCAAACCCACCGGTGTGTGAATATCACAATTGTGGTTTTTGCCCAGCGCTTTTTAATTTTCATAATGATGTTATCTTCACCCCAACTGTGATAACACTTCCTGTATTTGACAAATTGCAGCCTCTGTGAATTTACATAATGCTTAATACACATAAGATGTTTTAAAGAGGCCACGAATGCTCTTTGCTGCTTTGCTTGCGATATTTCTTAACGGCAATCATGCGAGACGGCAAGGAGTAAAATTTGGTGTAGGCTGCACCCATTCCAGGCTGATTACAGGGCACAAACCTGACACGGCAACGTTTCCCTCTGCCTGGGATGAAGGATACCTGAGCACTGACGCCACAGGTGGTCAAGGGTCAATCTCTCCTCTCTTTTAGCCTTTCTAAAACTTTCCTTTCCCACTTTAAAAGCAGGGAAGAAAAAGTTGGGAAGCCCAACAAACAGTTGAGCTAGCTCAATGTTTTGAAAACTTTGGCAACTTTAAAAGAAGTGGACTTCCAATCCCAGGACCCCTGGCTGTGGCTGGGTCGAAACCTTCACATATTCACAGTTGTCAAGTCTGAAAAACACTTGAGCTGCTTGGCAAAAGCTTCAAACAAAGCCAAACCGGGCAGAGAAGGTGTTTCGTGAGCTGTTCTGGGGCAGGGATTCCACCTCACAGGAACCGCTGCTTCAAAAGAATTCTTCTTCCTCCTCCTCCTCCTCCTCCTCCTCCTTTGCCTTACACTTTATTTCTGGGGAGGGTTCCTCCCCGAAAGCTGGACTTTTTTTGTTTTTTAACACGTTCATGATAAAATCAAGAGCCCCCCTAATCTCAGAGGGAGTGGGCCCGCTCCTAAAGCGAGCCCCTCTTGTTATTCGTGTGCTGGATTTTGACAAAGTTCTTTCCAAGCCAGGGCTTCCCCCCCCCCCCCCCAAAGGCCTTCTTGGGCATAAAAAGGAACTGATTCATATCTACCAGGAAGTGGAGTCCCTTCTCCCCCTTTTATTTGAATAATTGGCTTTGGAACAAAAGAGCAGAAGGAGGAGAAGAGGGGAAAAATAAGAACACCCTTGTTGGCTTTGATAGAAAGCGCAAGACTTTTGCATCCAGCAATCGTTGTTAGAAAAGAAACAAAACAAAACAGGAAGGTTTGATAGGATGTGCAGCTCAGGAGAAGAGATCCTGGCAAGGTTTCCAAATCAAAATGTGGGTGGCCAGGCCAGAACTTGTCTCAAGGGCCACCTTCTCCTAAGGGAGGGAAAATGCTTCTCCCTGGGTGGTGGGGGGTGTGTCCTTCTCTCTCTTCCAAACATCTTTAAGACACCCAACTTTCCTAACCTTTTAAGGACCGAGTTGCTCCCAAAAGGAGGGCCCCTCTGGATGTCCTTCTTGGGGACTGGACAGCCACGGGGATCCTACCGCAGCCTGAACATTTTGGAAGGATGCTCCGGTGAAGGACAGGATATGCAAGGCTGCGCCACTGCCAGTATTCTCCCCAAACTCTGGCCCTTTGAAGCCCGTTTCAAATTCTCACTGGAATGACGAAAAGGAGGGGAGAAGAGCCAAAGATGTTTTTAGCCCGGGGTTGTTTATTCAGGTTGGCTGAAGATGGCTGGATGCCTAGAGGGAGGAGAGGCTACTCCGATGCTCCACTCCGTTTCTCCACGGTCTGGGAAAACCTTGGACCCGAGAGGACGAGGTGCTGAAGTCCAGTAAAGAGGGACCGGTCATCAGCCTCGCCACAAATTAAATCTTCCTCCTGTTTCTTGGAATCACGGCAGGTTTTCTGTACAACTGCCGGGCCGCTTGACAGTTTGACCTCCGTACCCCATCAAGGCATGGCAGCTCATAATTGGTCACCGGCTTTGCTGTGCAAACAACTTTCGGCTGCAAAGTAAGAGGCAGCAATTGTGCTTTGGAGCACCTCCAGGTTGGGAAACAAGGTTGTTAGCCTTTAGAGGCGCGCACGGACTAGCCTGCTCTGAGGTGGGTTGGTTTGCAGACAGAAATTGGGGTTTTGCAAGACAGGCCTCCGTTGCGGAACCGAAGGACGGGAACCGGTTTGAGCAACTGTGGGATTGAAACAAGGGTCCGAGCAAACTAAAGCCAGACCTAAAGGCTTCTAAAAGGGGACTTCCCAAAACAAACGGCACGTTTGCATTTGCGGGGGTCGAAAGGCGATCCTTTTTGTTTTCTTGCTTGTTTTTCTAACCCATTTGGAGAATTTTGGGATTCTGAGGTGAGGAAGTCACCGTTGCCGGTCTGAACTCCCTCTCTCGTGTATATGAAAATGACGTTTGTGGGCGATAGGATTTGGAATCCGGTGGCAAAACTGACACCGGATCATTTCACTGGTGCATGTTGTGCACACCTCGCAGTGGCCATTGTGTAACAGGAAGGGCCTGACTTCGTCTTTCGGGGGACGGGAGGCCTTAGCTCATGGGCCAATCTTGGGTGCAAAGCCAGGACGTGGGCTAAGCAAGAAGAAGGTGAAACACGAATGCACTGACTCATCCTCCAAAAATGGGCTTCTTGGAAATAATTAAGGAAGGAAGGAACAGGAGAGTAAATGCCGTCATGGTTGGATAGATGAGTGGACGATTCCACATTAAAGTGTCAATAGCCAGAGGTGGGATTCAGCAGGTTCTGACTGGTTCTGGAGAACTGGTGGCAGAAATTTGGAGTAGCTCTGGAGAACCGGCCAATCCCACCTCCGACTGGCCCCGCCAACCCCATCTCTTCTCTGCCTCCCATCAAGTCCCAGATGATCGGCTGGGTCTTCTTTGGTTGCCTTGCACAGGAGAATGGAGCTGGAAAGCAGGTCAGTGGGGTGGGGAAGGAATGGGGATTTGGCAGTATCCTTCCCCTGCCACGCCCACCAAGCCACACCCACACAACCCGGAGTAAAGAAAATTTGAATCCCACCACTGTTCAGAGGAGGCTAAAATCAAATATTCCCTCTCTCTCTCTTCTCCTGCCCAGAAATACCTGGCACGTGATGCCCGCTGAGCAGCTTTGGGTGTGATGGGCAGAAGGGTAGAAGAAGAGACACAGTCTGGCTTTCATTTGGTTTGGAATGCTTTTTGCACAATTCAAATGTCCCCGAGAGTCCCAACACACAAACACACACACACACACACACACACACGCACACACACACAACTTCCTGTTTTCTTTCAGCGACAACTTGGTCTAGTGGGAAAGAGGCTGGCCTAGGAACCAGGCCACAGCGACTTCTAGCCAGGCCTAAGGCGCAAAAGCCAGCTGGGTGACTTTGGGCCAGAGGCCTTCTCAGCCCCCAATGCCAACGGGCTCCGGCGATGAGCCAGTCAGTCAAGGCTGGGCATCCTTGTCTTAAAAGGGCTTTGGACAACCAGGTGGTTTTGCCTTCACGTGTTTTCCTTTTCAAACCAGGATTTGGGCCCGATGCAAACCCAACTAACCAGGGCTGATTAAAAACAGTTAACTTATCCAGATAAGGAAACCACGTTAGTCTTGAAAAGCAGCGGCCGTGTCCCTTTTCCTCCCCTCGCTAAACCACCTAAATTCCCTGTGAAGGAGAGGCTGGCTGGGAGGGGGGGGGGAGATTCTGTGGCTGAGCTTGGCCTTGGGAGCCCCAGCATTTTTCTCTCTCGGGGGGGTGGGGCGGGGGGAATTCCCCATTTCAGGGCTGCAGCCCCGGGAGGGAAGCCCTGCAGTGGCAAAGCAAAAGGCATAGCAAAAACAGCTCGACTCCCGTCCTGCCTCCTTGTTTTCTTTGGCTGGGAACCAAACTGGCAGCTTTGGCATTTCGGGAGGGCCGGGTTTGCTTTGGCGGTGGCGCAACACTCAAGACCGAACCAGTTCCTCCCCAGCCTTCCCCCCAGGAGCCATCCAAGAACGAGCAGATAGATACTGGAATGCCCCTTGGCTTGGCAATCCAGAGCCAGGTGCTGCTTGGGGGTAAACAGAACAGCAGAACTCCAACGGCTGTCACCCCCCTCCATCACCTCGAGATTAAAAAAAGGAAGTTTTATAGCCTGGCAAGCATGTCGAGATAGGAATCTGCGGTATTCTCTCCTGCAAAAAAATAAAATAAAATCCAGAAATTTTGCTGAGATGGATTCAAGTCTCTCCATAGCCAAGCGATCTACGGAGCGGTAACCTTATTAGCAAAAGTTGCTTTCAATTCTCCTTAAGTTGTTTTTTTCTCTTTAGTTTTCTCTTCCTCCTTAAAAATCAGGGAGGCCCAGCAGGGAATAGTGCTTAAGCAATTCAGGGCAAGCAACCAGGAACGTGGGCGGCCAGAGGTGAGTTTGCAGATGTTTTAAAAACCCAGGTCTTGCTAAATAAACCCTCAACCCGCCTAGCTCCAGGCCGTACGTTGTTCTCAAGCACAACCACCAAAAGAAAACTACCGTTTAACCTCACGTAGAGACAGTTACGTTCCAAGGAGGCAGGTTGAGCAAACTCAGGAAATGCTTTGAAACCTATTCAGGGCCACCTTCGGTGAGGTTCTCGCTATTTTTGGGAACCGTCGCGGTTCCTGCTTTCTGCGGGAGAGGCGGAGGCCTCCAACTCTGAGCACCGATTACAAAAACAGCTTCCCACTTTATTATATTCCATTGTACAGCTTTACAGGGCAGGAGACTTGGGGAGTCCCGTGTTCAGGGAGACAAGGTTTGACCGATGCTTTCGAGGTACCTTCAGCCCAATGCAACGAAGGTGGGAAGGAAGGAAGGTAGAAAATAGAGGGCAGGAGGCACTTTCCCGGTTCAAATAAGTACCCTGTGAGGAAGAGGGACGGGGAGAGCCCCCCTTAGGCATCGGAGGTTCCCCCGCTTCAGGCAGCATTCAGAATATTCCTGAGAAAGGTCTGGCAAGCATCCAGAAGTTCTCCTGGTCCCCTCCTGAAGCCCCAGGTAGGTTTCAGAAGGAGCCGTATCTTTCCCCGGAAGTCCCGCTGATGGCACAGAAGACGTGTAGGGTGTTGGGCAGCCAGGACGGATGCCCGGGGTATTCTTGGTAGATCTGAAACAGAGAGAGATGAGTTAGCAGGGGCCTCTGCATCTCCGAGGAGGAGATAAATATTTGCTCCACCCAAAGGAAAACAGAGCGGTGTTACCCAGCCTGGTCTTCAGAGCTGTTATGGCAAAGGGCAGCATGGAAGAGAAAAGAAAGAGAAGGAAAGAGAAGTTACTGAAGGCAAGAGACGGGCTCTTCAAGGCCCTCTTCAAGGCTGGCAAAACTCCAGGGGAAGAAAAGTTTGGGTTGGGGTCGCTCTGGGATCAAACGGAGGCCAACCCAGAAGGAGCAGCTGTGTTTCAGCCAGGAAGAAGCAGCTTCTCTGAGGCTGATTGGCTCCTTCTGGAGGACGTGGCTCAAAAACACATTTCTGCAAAATTAGGCGAGGTGCAGCCCGCTCTCTGATTCATCGTGCATATGCAGACCCATAAACAGGCCAAGGGAAATTGCCGGCTACTTGGGAGGCATCACCAAGTTGGCTTTCCTCCTGCTTCATTGTTCTTCAATGGGGTGGAGAACCTTGCGAGGCCAGGAGAAGAAATCTGGAAAGGTTACAGTCCAACTTCGGCAACTTTTAAGGTCTGCGGACTTCCAACTCCCGAATTCCCCTTCAAAGGAAGGAGCTGCGCACTGAAGTCCACAACTCTTAAAGTGGCCAAGGATGGACAGGCAGATGGGCAGCTTCCCAGCCTTTAAATGGACAGATCCCCCGAAATTCTCACTTGGGCCATGATATGCAACCCACTTCCTTCTCCCGGGGGTCCACTCCTGGCACGGCTGGCGGTCACTCACCTCTCCTATCTCATTCCACAATTGCAAGCTGCACCCCAAACCTCCCTCAGAATATCAGCCAAGCCATTTTCAGGGTTGCTGCTCTGCTAGCTCTTCATCTGGCCCTCCTGTTCCTCCTTCAGTTGCCTCCTCCAGAGGGATGTGAGGGAGGGGCTTGGAGCAGTGCCGAACGGGGGTTATGGGGGGGGGAGCCTGCGCTAAAGGCCTCTTGTCGGAGCCTCTGCCCAGGGCAGCCCTGACTTCAATCGCGGCCCGTTTGGCACCCAGCGGGTTTCTCCAAGGATCACGCGGCCTGGCAGACGGCCACTCGCTGGGGTTCAGTTGTGAAAAACAAGAGCTCCTGCAGAACTGGGGTTTATTTCATGTTCTTCTTTTTTTTCCAGAAAGGTAGTTTCACAGCCAAGAAAGACCCAAAATTGAAAAACCGGAGGGTCAAAGCTGATTTCTGTGGTGGGTAATCCCCGGGTGCGGTTTTGCTCTTGTTCTGTTTTTTTGGTGTGGGTTTTTTTGTGTGTGTGTGTGTGTGTGTGTGTGCTTTTCGTAAGGTTCCGCTCCTCCTTTTTGCTCTGAGGGCTGGCAGCTCCCTTCTAATTTTGCCACCGAGATTTTAGAATGCAAGACTCCACCCGTCGCTCCTCAATGGTTGCAGGTGGCAAAGTGAGAAGGGGGCTACAGAGAACCTCGGTGGGGTTTCCTGTAAGGCAGAAAAGGGCCCACCTGTTTCTCAGCAAGCTCTTTCGTAGCTGGGACCTCTGGCTGAGTTCGAAAACTAAAAACTCTGTGCGGCGGTGGGATTTCTCCGGCACTCTCATCCCCTCCAGGTAGTCCAAAAACCGGTTCGTCTTGCCAGGTTTTCTCTAGATTTCAGCCCTAGCATTAATCTAGCTCAGGGCTCTCCAACCGTGGCAGCTTTAAGACTTGTGGACTTCAATTCCCAGCATTCCTTGCTGGCTGAGGAATTCTGGGAGTTGAAGTCCACAAGTCTTTTTTTTTTTTTTTTGTAAAAAAATTAGAGTTTTCACAAAGCATAATTACAAATAAAATATCTTTTTTTGAGAATAGCATGGTCCCAGGTTATCACTTTTCCATACAGACAAAACTCAATTTCATATTCATCTTGGTGTTCTATTCCATATCTTATTACTATTTTAACATTTTCTCTATAATTTTCCCTTCCCTTAGTTTTCCCAACCTTGCTTTTAATTATCTCATTCCTTTCTAAATTCAGTTATATATATATATATATATATTTTCTAAGTTTCAATTTCTTTCTAATCATTATATTTATACTTTTGTCTGTCCAGTTTCAATTTCATATTTTCTTTTCTCATTAAACAAAATTTTTCCCTGTAGTTACTGATTGGAGTATGACACCTTTATATCTTTTAATCTTTGTCCATTCAACTCTTATTTAAACTTCAATTTATGCCTTTACAATTATAGCATTCAATATAACACATAGCTTCCAGTCGAATTCTGCTTGGTACATTCTTAAAATACACAAGTCTTAAGTCGCCAAGATTAGAGACCCCTGACCAACAGATCTTCACAAGGTCCAAGATTCCTGCTATGTAGGGAATATGAGGTTTTCAGAATTCCCTGGTCTGGGAATCTCTTATTGAGAAATATTGTTGATGGTTTGGTTATTATTATTATTATTATTATTATTATTATTATTTGGCAGTTTAAATCTGGTCAGGGTAAGATGGGATTGTAAGCGACTGACAATCAGTGGAGCTGTAAATAAATAAATAGATAACTTAAAGGGTCTGGAAGAGGCTCCATCCTGCGTGCCTAAGGTCATATTTCTGGAGCAACTTTAAAACCGGTGGACTTCAACTCACCAAATTCTGCTTTGCTGGTGGGCGAATTTGGGAAGTTGAAGTCTACCGGTATTAAATTTGCTTCAGAAACACTCTGGGGAATTTCACCATCAACAAATAATTGCACAATTTGTTTTTCTGAGCCGCCCAGAGTCACTGAGAGTGAGATGGTGGCCGCATACATTTTCTTAACTAAATAAATAAAATATTATAGGATGTCCAGCAACCGTAGCCTCCCTGGGTCCCCCTCCCCAGGACTTCATTCCACGGTTTCCAACTCAGACCACCAAAAGTATTCTAAAAATTGGGGGGGGGGAGATCAAAGGAAGCAATTCTGGCCCTTTGGGGAGCTTGGTCACCCCCAGAGCTCCTGTCTGATACCCCGCTGAGCCAGTCCTATTTCCTCACACACGCCCCCAGAGCAAAAAGTGCAAAAGGTCGAAGAGCAGAACTGAAAAACAGTCAACTAGACCAGATCTTTTCCATTTGAATAGGACTATGTTGCAGAAAAGCCTCTGCTCTTTCTATGCAAATCCAGCTGCAAGGACACAGCTGGCCAAGGGAGAGGGGAAGGGCTTGGAGATCCTCTCCCCCCACCCCCCTGCAACAGAGAGATAAACTGTCCTTGTTTTGATCCTATTGCCCGATGACCTCAAACTGGGAGGTTTCCTCTGCACAACACTAAGCTCTGAATCCCAGTTTCGTAAGCAGCCGAGTCCTTGACTTTCAACGGTGCATATAACATTGTTAGTTGCCCCGAGTTCCTGGTGTGGGAAGATGGGGGGCTAGTACGTTTTTATGAACAGAACCAATCAATGTATTTAGCGCCTTTGAACGGCTCTCGGGGTCTTACCTGTTCATGCAGGATTTCCGAGAGCTCTTTCACCATCTCCCTGAAGTTGGACTTCAGCTCCTCGTGATATTCAACTTGGTCTTCCTTGATCAGCCTTTCGTTGAATTCCAGGCCGATTCCGCAGGCTTGGATAAATTTCCTGGGGGAAGATAAATCGACCCCGGCATTTAGTCCCTCCTTGGATTTGGCGGGGTGGGGCGGTGGGGAGGGGGAAAGGAAGAGAAGAAGTTTCAAACCGAAGCTTTTAAATTCAGGATCGAAGAGCAGGATTTGGAAAGGCAAGCAGGACATTGGAGGTGGCCCTCCATACAACGAGAAGTTGCCCTCGGAAGTTGTGGGAGCACCATCACCGGAGACTTTCAAGAAGAGACGGGGCTGGCACCTGTCAGAAATGGTGTAGGGTCTCCTGCTTGGGCTGGGGGTTGGACTAGATGACCTACAAGATGACCCTTCTAACTCTGATTATCTGTGATCTGTTCTTGCAAACAGTTAAAACGGTTGCAAAACTGCCAGCTTTTTTTGGGGGGGGGGGGGGGAGAATGGAAGAAAAGCGTCGATACGCCAGGAAAGACCCCCGTAAAGGTGGCAGGACTTCCTGAAACGGACCACTGTTCTCTTGGGTATCTCTGTGTCCCTTGGGGCAGGCGGAGCAGCGCTTGGAGAGAAGAGAGAGGGAAGCATCCCCGATTCAGGGTGACATTCCCAGGGAGGCTGAAAGGGGTAGAGATCCCGGCTGTCCCAACTCTTCCTTCAACCGCTTCCCTCTCCCTGGTCCCCTCATTTAGAAAGAATTTGCATCCTTTTCTTTGGCTATCAGTGACATTCCAGGCCCTAGTTGGTCTAATGCCTTACAGACTTGAGGCTGGGTGGACTTCAACTCCCAGGATTCTCCAGCTAGCCACGTTCATTTTCTGTCTCTAGAGTGGAGAGGTTGCAGAGGGAGGGATCGCAAGAGAACAAGCAGGCATGCCACATCCAAAGGGCTGCGTCGGCGCCAGGGAATTCTGGGAGTCGGTCTACCCATCTTCAAGCTGCCACAGTTGAGGAACACTGGCCTAGTGACAGGCTGGCAGTCCAGGGGTCTTGGGGAGGGGCCTCACAGGGCTCTTCGTAGCTGGGTGTGCGCACCTGGTGGGTGCTGACTGTCCACACTCTGTTTCTCTTTGACAAGCACAGTTCCGGGAAGAATGCATCTCTGTGTTTACCTAATTTGTTTGAGCAAAGAGCACAAGGGTACCAGTTCAACGAGGCTGATAAGAAGCCAAGGAGAATGAGTTTGCTCAGCTGGACAACCGTGGCTCTTCTTAAAACTCTCTCCTTTCAATTTTCCCTTCCCAATTTTAAAAAATTATGGAGGGCCCCCAAAAGAGATGGATTCTCTCTATCAATGTTTACCAGATTAAAAATTAAAATGTGTGCCTTTGTAGAATATTGTTCAAATAATCCTATGAGATCAACATAACTAAAATATGTGGGTTTTTGGGGGGTGGGGTGGGGGGAAGCTGGTATTTTTAACAAATAAAATAATAATAATGAGAAGAGTGATGCAGTTTTGAAATCTGGCAAATCTCTTCAATATCCAGCAAATAATTTTGATTTTGTGGATCCCTGAGAGAATCTTGGGGAGATCCTTAAACACTCTTGAAGCTATACTGAACCCAAGAAAAGTCTGACCTCCATTCAGCTCCTGTAGTGAAGTTTCATTAGTTTCCTTATCATCAATAGTTCCGGTAGAATCATAAAATTCTAACTGACTCACATAAATAATCAACTACAGCCCATTGTTAAAAGATAACAAAGGAAGACAATCAAAACCTCAACCCGAGAGATGACAATGCAATGAAAGGAACCCTTTGCAACCTTTCAGTGGGTGCTAACAGGAAGTGACCATCCTTACCTGAGGAAGGGGCTGATTCTGGGGGCCGGGCTCAGAAGCAGCCTCCCCAAATCCAGCTGTAGGACAGATGACTTCTACCTGGACCTGATGGTCCCTGAGATAACCTAACCCAAGGGTCTTCAAACTTGGCAACTTTAAGACTGGTGAACTTCAACTCCCAGAATTCCTGAGCTAACATGATTGGAGGAGGAATTCTGGGAACTGAAGTCCACCAGTCTTAAAGTTGCCAAGTTTGAAGACCCTTGACCTAACCAGAGCCAGGGAGGACTTGACTGAAAGTCCAGTGTTTTGAACAGTACCCAGAAATTCAGGGGTCCCTGATGCAGCTGGTCCTACTTTGGGTCAGCACCTGGTTGGGAAATCACCTGAGGTTCCATCACACAAGAAAGTCATAAGGCGCCCAAGTCCACGACACCAACCTGAACATGTCCTTGAGTTCAGCCACCTTCTTCGCGGGATATTTGTTGGAGTGCTTGTCGTCCAAGAAGGCTCGGGCGTAGGCCAGGGGGCCAGCGTTGACCTAACACCACGTCCCCCGCAACAGAGGTACAGTGACAAAGAGATCGGGCAAACAGAGAAAGAGAAAGAGAGAGAGACAAATTAAGAAGATCTTGGAAGCTGGATCCCAGCACAACGCCCAGGTGCCTCTGCACTGCTGGGTGATGCTTCAAGGAACCACATTGGTGGTCTTCAAAGCAACCATGTCCACACACACACACACACACACACACCTCTAGGAGTTTGAGGAGCACCAGAGCTTAAAGATAAGCAACTGGGAGCAGAATGCTTAGTTTTGAAAGGCTACATCTAGCCTGTTTCAGGCCTGACCTTGTAATGGTAGGAATTGGTGCCTCTAATTTGAAGTAGCCAAGGAACTCTGGGGCTCAAAGGAGAGTTGGGGATCTTCATCTAACCCTTTTGCATTAAGCACATAAACACATAGGACAAACACTGACAGCCCAACAGATCCGCTATGATTTCTGGAATATCTGGGGAGGGATCCTAGGCCTTTCGGAGGAGTGAAAATTATTATTATTGGGCTTCTTGCCCCATGAAAATCAGAAAGGAAGTGGTTGTACCCCATGATTTATGGCTGTGTGAATCCTTTGTGGCTTATTCAGCAAACTGGGTTTCAACTGTTGGTAGTTTACAGTGGAAAGGCACTGAGAGCAGAACCAGAAGGAGCATTCCAGCTAAAAATCCCCCTCCCCATTTCCAGCCAGGAAAATATTGACTTCTGGGGCAGATGTGCCCAGCTGCTTACTTGCACCGAAACGGCGCCCTGAAGTTTCAACTGCAGCTGGATCATGTCCACATCTGGCGAAGCACAGAGCTGCTGCAACTCGGAGGTCTTCTCCCGGATTTCGTCCGTTGCCACGTCAATTGGTTTCAGGTTGACCTGCTGCTCACAGCTGACGGGGATTCTTTTCTTAACATATGGGAAAGAGTTGCACGCTAGGAGAAAAGGGAGCAAGCCACAGAAGAGCTGATCAAGAGAATGGTCTAAACGTCTCCTGCAAAGCCCCACTCCTCTTTTGCTCCTCTTTTATTCCCTTTGGGAGGGGCCATTCACCCTTCACCTGTGGCTTTACTCCCAAGTTGACCCTTGTCCCTCATTTGTTCCCTTCTTCTGGCAGCTCTGTGCATGCACACACTGGGAACAGGCTCCCGCCTCACTGATATTCGACTTTGAAGGCAGCTGTCAAAGGGTCCTGGCCCCATCTCTGCCTCCGGCGCAGAGCCCTTGTCCGAGCCTTCCCCAGACTCCAGGACTGGCCCAGGTTCCTCCCCAACTGCCTCATTGTCCAAATCTAGTGCCAGGGCAACAACAAGAATGAAGAGTTCCCCACCTACTAACTCTAGCTCAAAATCAGTCTCTGCTTCTGAGAAAAAGGAATCCCCCCCCCCCCCCCAAAGTTCTAATTGGCTTGTTCGCTCTAACTTACTCTCGTTTTGGCTTGGGGACGAAGGGGAAAAAAGCTGTCTCAACAGACCACAAATATCACAACAATGCAGACCTGGAAATTCAACGACTGCGCAGATTTTTCCACAGGGTACATAAAACGCCCATAGGAGATCTCAAGACTAGCCAACTTTTTGAGCGATGGCTCTCTCTGAGCATGCAAGGTCGATAAATCTCCTAATTTGGGGGAATCTCACTCTCCAAGCCTTGAGGAATTGTGTGAGGGCTTGCGGGCCCTTCACAAAAAGACTTGGGACTTGACCTAAGTCAGTCCAAATGGTCTGTAAGAAGGACCATTAGTGATTAGGGTGCCTCCTCCCACATGGGGGTCAGAATTGCTCGGGGCAAATCAAGACAGAGTTCCCATTAGAGTAGAAACGACCTGGCTCTAATTGTCCTCCTTTGGAGACATTATTTGAAGGCCCAGCTCTGTAGAACAGGCTTCAATGCTGGAAAAGGTGGAAGGAAAGAGAAGAGGGTGACCAGTATATGAAGATTGCAGTGGATACATCTGTCAGGGCTTCGGCAGTTACCCCCATTTAAATCACGGGTCTCTAGCCGAACTTCCAATGCTTAAAGAAGATTTATTAGGAGTAAACATGTCCAGCACTGCCTGGATATAGCCAACTCTGAGGCACATTATTCATTGTCACCCTTGACCCTAGTTTCCCCCCACCCCGAGTGTATCATAATTCATATTCTCTAACGAGACACATTCGTAGCCAAGAGTCATCAATCATGTTCTCCAGTTAGAATTTTGTGCAGCAGAAACTTCAGCCACCTAGTTACTATCTTTGAAAACATTTATGGAATGTACTTTCAGTTTTGCAAGCTGCTGCGCTGCTCCTTCCTCCCTTTCTTGTTGGCAACTCTAAAAAGGCCAGAGAAATATTTTATGAGTTGATAACATCTTCATCTTCATCTACTTCCAATGGATCCATCATTGGAAGTCCTGAAGGGACAGATTAGGGCCAGATCCTCCTCGAAGGAATCTCTGTAGGTGGACACTAAGAGTTGGCAACAACTTGATGGTCTGCATTGAATTTGTAGATTTCTGACTTTGGGAACACTGGGGTGAAATAAGGACCACCTCCTCTGAAGAACAGATTGGCCTCTTCTAGATCTGAGTGTTTATCTCTCTTGAGATAAATCATTTATTCGTTGGCCTCCATTTCAATCAATGGCAGTTGGCCTTGGCTCTTGAGTTTCTGCTGTTGCAAATGCTGTTTTTGTATAACTAGAGGGAGTCTTTATTTTCCTTAAATCAGCCAAAGAATTTGTGAGATGCGCAATCAGACTCAGAGATACTTAACATAAAAAAAACCCTCCATACATATGTATACACACACACACACACGCACACGCACACACTCACTAGTGAGGATAGTCCGCCTCTTGCATTGCTCCTCCACGTTTCCGTGTTTCTTGCCAGACAAGGTGTACGGGGTCTCGAAGACAAATTGGCTGATGTTGTGGTTCCTTTCGAACTCCGTCTTCCTCTCCAAAAGCTCCTTCTCGTCAAAAAACGGCTTCAGGTAAGTCACCTGAATGTGAGCGTACTTGGCATCTAGATCTTTGGGGTTCACCTGGAGTAAGAAATTGGAAAGTTCTGAATGGAACCCAAAGAAGATCAACCCAGTTGGATATCCAGGGACCTCCAGCCGAGAGGCCAACATTTCAGGATCCCAAGCCTACGGTGGCCACTTGGGAACCTCTGGAGACGAGGACAACTGGAAAGAAGTTCTACTTTGCTGATAGGCAGCAAGGACACGGTCACGCGGTTCTACTGGGCCAGAACTGGAGCTTTGCTTTCACATTACCTTGTTGGAATCCTGGATGATTTTGACATTCTCGGCTCCAAATTTCTCTCCGTAGAGTTTCAGCAGCCGGAAGGAAATCTCCGAGAGGCCAGTTAATTTGGGCTCCTTGTAGATATACTCTTTCCCATCTTCCTCCTCAAAGAAAGCCTGCAATGATTCAAGCAGGAGAAAGGGAGGGAAGGGAGGAGGAGGAGGAGAAGGAGGAGGGGAAGGAAGGGAAGGGAGAGGAAAGGAGGAAGAGAAAG